ATAGGGATCCATACGAAAGTCCAATTCTTCTAATATACATGCAATGCATTTACGACTGTTATGAAAAGGCAGCTAATTCAATTGAAAATGTTTTGTTCCTATAATTATTTTATTGGACATCCTTGTGTTATTATCGTTGGATTGTATCGAGATAATTTTAACACTAATTTTTACTAGGCAACACCTATTTACAATTCGTCATCGGTAAAGATCCTCGGCAAAAAAATTACAACGGGAGCATCCATTTCGTTTTCTAAAATTTACGACACACAAACGTATGATCCGTTCGAAATAATACTATCCAACCCCCATAACCGAGAGTGATTTAGCGGATAATAAATCTACACTACTGAGACGCGAGTTTGGAGCGGCAATCTCAGCTCAAACATAGAGAAAAAAATGCTCGGTTTGTCCTAAATAGTTGGGTGACAGGTCTCTGGTATGTCGGAACACGAATCAGTAAAGGGAATTTGTTTTTAACTGGATTCCTAGCTACCTTCATTAAGGCAGCCATTTTGGCAGAGCATATCGAGCAAATAACACCTTTTCCACTATTTTCTTTGACCTTTTCAACATAACGATCGTCGTTTACCTTCTACTATCATTCCATCTATAGCGTCCATTGTCGGACTTCTTCTCGTTGTCATAAGACAATGACAAAGTCAAACTGGTATATGTGCTCAGACCTTGTGAAACATAGAACTCACACAGTGTAAAGGGGGGCATCAAGCATTAGACATCGATTTGTAAAGGTCGTATATAACTAGAACAGTGCAAATAATATGTGTACGATTTAGCAATCCGTCCGAATGCTGGATTGGAAATCTCCCATTTGACAAAAAAAAAATACAGCCAACGATTCGCAATAGTCTTCATTATATCTATGTGTATATTATCAGAAGACCATTTCGCTTTTTCTATATATATTTTTTTGAAGAGATTATATTGATTATGCTTCCTAATAGGCAACATACCTACCTATGTACTCGGCACGCACACTTTCTAGAAAATAAAGAGTCAAAACAAAGTTGCTCATTTTTTATTGTATTTGTATATTAAAAAAAATCGCAAGAGACTTGCTTAACCGGAAAAAAAATTACATAGACACTTTTGATACTCTTCTGATATGTTAATCGCAGAGATTCGTTAGGCAATGTATGCGTGGATATTTTCAACTAACGACCTTTTGCTAATTTTAATCGTTAAATAGTTTAAAACATTTTAACAAGATTGTATTGTTCGATTTTACAGCCGTCTTGAATCAACCGTTTTTTAAGGCTTGTTTTTTTGGTAAGCAAACATTTTTCTACTTTATGACGTAATACTCTTATTACGGGTACCTGCCTCAAACTGTCTCACAGCAAAGGAACTTTGCCGCTTGCCAGCAACGTTTACTGCGATCACCCTCCTTTTATGAACTCTAGGATATAGGATTCTTTTAAAATTGGAATCGTTCTTCCTTTAGGTGGAAATTGGTTAAAAATGCACGGCCCCACACCTGTATCATTGTCTGCCCAAATAATAATCATTATCGTGGGGCTGCAAAGCTTATCAGAATCCATATAATACCTTTTTCAAGCTGGCGAAAAATTTGTTTCAATTTAGTCGATAACAACTGTCGATAGAAGGATCACCACATCGAACATTGTCTGTATCCCTTTTCGACACAGGGGTGACTGATCCACTCGGAAAGGTTAGTACTTCCACGACGATGTGAGTCACTAAAGCGTAAGTATTACAGTTATACAATATGCGTGAGTGCTCAATAGCGACACGGTCTGTTGAGGTCGACCGCGTTCCGTCCGACTCACTTCTACCTGCTCCAAACGCGACAGCGATGAGCGGCAGGCATTTTGCCTATAGCCACACCCAGAATAATGAAGTCCGGTGGAGATAAGCAAGGGCGGGAATCAATCAATCGAGATAGCTAGTAGCCTAGAAAAGCCTCGAACCAAGTCCCACTGCATGAAAGAAAGATGCTGCAGCAGAACCATTAATTCACTTTACCCTCGATACTAATTCTTCTAGCTGCTACAGTTAATCGAGTAAGTCGCATGGGAAAATGCGGAAGACAGAAGATTACAAAGCACCCTTTGCTCTTTCTCCTTGTCGAGAGTTCCGATTGTCGCAAGCGGCAACAAAACTACGCAAAAGATCAATGCTTTTTTAGCCCTTCATCCTGCAACCTCAGGACCTGTTTTTGCCTCTTTTTCTCATTGTAGTGTTAATGGTATCGTCGCTGTCTTTAATGCCGAAGTCGTTGATACACTCGTCTGCTTTTTTCCTTGAATTTGAGCGCGGAAAGAAAATTAGGAAAGTCATGACATCGCTTCCAATTGCAACGTATCGTAAGCAATTTCTATTCTTTATTCAGATTCGTTTCACAACAAACAGCCGTCCCGCATCGACGTCGATAGGGTGTTTTCCTTGACGCTTACCCTTTTCTGCTTACCTGCCCTTTTTTCTTGTCCGTTTCTTCTAATAGCTGCTGTTGGCTTAATGGGATTTGACTACATGTCTGTGTAATTGTAGAGAGAGGGGGGCATTGAACGGATAGGATAGAACGCTTCGGGTGGTAAGAAGAGGGAAGGCTGGACCTTCTACTTATACCGAGTGAAAAACAGAGTAAACCATTTCAGGAGGTATCTCCCACTATTCACCAATTGCCTTTTTTTTTTTTATTGCATCTGCTTTTATTGTGTCCCTCTGCGCAATCTTGTGCCCGTTTTGCTTCGACTGTATCCGGCGTCCTATGCTACTATTTTCAATATTTGTCATCTACCGTTCGCTGGAGCTGTTCTTGTTCTAAAATGCTCATCTTGTACTTTTTCTTCCTCGTGTCCAGAACTTCAGTGAGCGGCCAGAAAGGGGAGGATGGAAAAAATGGCAAAGTCAAGCGGAATGAGCAGACTTACGATATATGAGTGCACTTGCAAAACCTCCCCCTTTAGTCTGTCAGTAGTGACGGCAGAAGCCGCAAAAGCTACAAATAGAAGGACGATTACGTGGCTCAATTGCTCGGCTCCTAATGCAACCGGCGTAGTTGTTACTTCCCTTTAGATGGTGAAACCACCGGCGTCATGATTTGTGCTACCGGAATCCAAAGACAGCTCCACAAAATTCAATCTCAGCTTGAAGCTTACGCCCGCTACACTGCCTTCTTCTAGCCCCATCCTACCCCCGCTACAGTTTACGCTTATCAGCCCTTTTACTTTACAGGCTATAGCTGCTTTATGATACCCTTTTACTCCTGAACCCGTTTAGGAGGACAGATGCCTTCCTATCTGTAAATGGGTAATTATCGCCGTTTCGCTGGCCGTTCTCTTCCGCTTCTGCTAACTTCTATTCCTTCTAAAATGCAACGTGCCAGTGTTTGGCGGTCCAGCCATCACTCTCTCTTTTTTAAGAAAAAATGTACCTAGTTCAATAGAAAACAGAGAAGTCGTAGTCGAGAACGGGGTCTCTTGGTAGCAGGTACAATCGGCAGCCGACGAATACTCTCAGGAGTGTTCATGCCGTTATCGGCGACAGGTAAGCGAGATGTACCACCAGCTGCATCTCTCTTTTTTATTCTATCCTTTCGTGGATCGCGTTGCTATCGCCATCGTCCCCGTTCTCGCTGCTACTAAATCTATAAAAGTTGCCACCGTCCGAGCTGGGGGCCAACAGACGTAAACGGAAGGCTGGCCAGCTGGTGAGATCACGGCGGCATCAACATCCTACGGCCAAAGGATAAAGTCGATGTGGTGCGTTAGCAGCGCAATCCATCGGAACTGCGAACTATCATGTAAAGTCGAGCGAACATGAGGAAAAATACCTCGAGTCGATAGAACGTCTCCGGAGATTTGTTGTCCACTCGTCGCTTTCGATTACACGATGGTGCCGGCAGTTTAAATCCAAGTTGGAGATAGTGTTATTCCATAATACGAAGGCACAAAGACTGTGATAAGAATAGAATCTTTCTATCAAACTTAGGGCAATTTAACTGGGCCGCATACAGGTCGCAGGCAGGAGGGCAGGCAGGCAATTTAATATAAATTATTCGAAACAATTTTGAATAAAGTACTAATACGGCTGGAAGCCTTTTTTATTCCTTCTAAAGAATTGTTGTTGAAAAATTTACTCTGAAGTTCGAACTCCAAAGGGTGGTACGTCGAATGTAAATGGTATTCGTAGCATACATAGTGCTAACGTGTGATTTCACGCTCAAATTGAGTATCTTTTTGTTTTAATTGGAGTAAATACCTGGATGATGTCTTGACTGAAGAATAAAAAGGAGTTTCGAGAAACACCCTTCGCTAGGGTTGTGAGTGTCGATTTTATATATATGTATATTTTTATATGTATATCGTTGACGACCCTCACCTGTAACATTGGCTTTAGGCATTTTTACCTGTCGGATGATGTCAACAAACATAGCTACTGGAACTAGTTTACGGAATGACCTTATATTATTACTAATCGACTTTAATTGTATAACTTTGTCTGTTTTAGTTCAATACGCGACGTACTTACTATAGAACTCAACTCTGTGCTACAAGTAACTAAAACTACCATTAATTATGATATCTTTTCCTGTTTCTGAGCGCTTCACAACGTTTCGCCGCTCGTTGTTGTAAGTCAGCCATCTAACGCAGCACTATTATGCTAAACTTTTTCGTTCTCTCATCAAAGCCGAAGCTGAAGGCGCCAGCGTCAAGAGCTGTTCCTAGCAGCCCGACGCTTTTTCGGTCAGTAAGATAGAACGTCCGTGTGTTCAAGCGACGTTTGGGTAGCTGGGCGATGATGTCCGCTGTCTTTGTCGCCCTCGCCGATCTGGTCGCCCCTAGCAACGCTGAGTGTCACAAGCCAGTAGTGCGTCTCTGGGAACAACATCACAGCGATAGTGTATAATCACAGAACAGAACAAGTGAGAGCGCCTCAGATAAATCGGCCCCGATGCAGCCGCACTGAAACAGCGAGTATTAGGAACGTTCTATAAGAAATTCTCCTATTCCAGACAGCGAGTGACTGACAGACGTCCAACAGACGATGACGTAGTCGGACTGATCTTCATTGACTTTCAGTGTATCGAGAAGATTTACATCGGTGATACCCTGTGTTCTGCAAACGCATAAAACAAAAATAACATCGTGGAATAATGCAGTATTATGCTCCAACCGCCCCCCTGTTAGTCGTATCGTTGCTACCAATTGGTAAGTTGGATCATACGAACGTATCCCCCTTTCTGTTTGAACGCATTCGCAGCTTCTCAACAGGATTTCGAACCCCACCGAAAATAATTGAGCCACTGTTGCTTAATGTAGGATCGAATGGCTCAGTTCATAAAATTCACGTGGATAAAACTCATCTGACAGCGGCGCAATGAAATTGACGGCGCTTGTTTTGTTGCGAGCACGTGCGATCGATGATGAAATTCGGATGCAAAAGAAAACATTTGCATCCGATCAGAGATATTTCATATAGGGCTATCCTGCTGGTATTATTAACCCTGATATAATCATTAATAAGAGCTATCTCTTATTAGTTTATGGTTCGAATTCATCTGTAGAGTTATAAATTGTTGAAATACGTTGCCAGTATGAGCCTGTTGAAACGTTCGAAAAAAGTAATGGCTGTAAAATGTTTCGTTCCATGCACAAGATACCTTTCATAGAGACAACGAGACTGTAGTTCGGCAAGTGTTTGCGCTATTTAATGGTTTGGGGGGAATGTCACCTGCTAGGTAGTACAACATGCAGAACGAGCTCTTCTGTCTTCTGATTCTTGAAACATCAAGTTGAAAATACGGCGCCTAGCGGAGACTTGTGCATAACTCAATGCACGTATTGGCAATTCTCGTCAGCTAAATTTATTTGCTTAATGTACAGTTATCAAAGTTCAAGGGCTATAAATAGCTGGGCAGTTGCACGACTGAGGTTAGAAACGAATCTTAGTATTCGCTTAAAAATGTGTACTTTATGGACTCCCAATAACCAGGAAGCTATTTCATTTCTTTTTGCAAGTACTCGTAACTCAACGCACCAGTACTATATAAACATATATAACAAGTGGTGAATGGGTAGCGAAAGAGGTCACAGACGTAGAACGCTGCATGTAGATATACCAATACAGTGCTGAGGCCGAAGGTTTCTCGATCCATATAGAATACTTCGATTATTCGAAATATGTCGCTTTTCTTTGTAGGCATACCCGATGGGCTGCTAGAATTCCTTCACCTAAAGTCACGGCACGCATTTCTAACCCGATGACACAAAAGCGACAATTTACTTCGGTCTCAACAGATCGTATCCCCTTCCCCCTACCATATAGGGTGATCAGATGTTATAGAAAAATGGTTAGCATTTTTTCATAGATCTGTTTCTTCTCTCGTAGCAAGTTATCTGTCAAATTATGGCTCCCGTAGCGTTTTTATCATGTGTACATTATATACTTCATGATATCACCCTACTGACCTGATATACCTAGTCGAACTTGGACATCTCACGAGCACGCACAACTCGGCCAGTCATTTATCTTCTTCCACACAAATGTGCTTTATCTTCGTTTTCACCATATGTGCATATTCTTTACATCATGCGGCAGGTCCGCCCGTGTCCTGCCTGAGCTGAGACGTCATCTTTAGCGCGTGTAGGTTCTATCCTAACGGGATTAATTCCTGTGTAGTTATAAGGCTATATGGGTGTAGGGTGGGACAAAGCGATTGGGACAGTACACATCAGTGCCTGTTTCTCTAACACTCAGCTGTATCTTTCTGACAAATAAAGCAGACCACCGGAAGGTAATCGAACAGTGATGAGCAGACCCGAAGAGTGATCAAGTACGTTGGTTTATGGCCGGCAATCGTTGTCATGGCTATGATCAGCAGATAGCCTGCTAAAATTCACGAGAGTCAGAGGGGCCCAGGAGACCGGGCAAAATACCAGAGGACCAAACCACTTTTTTGGTACCGGCACTACTTATATTGGCTAACGACTAACTACTAGTCGGGCTTAATTAATGGTAATAGCGCAACAGGTGCCCTGACGACCGCTACTAATTAAATTGGCTATGCGGGCGGTATGTGTATTAGCATTATTGTCTAAACTCAGCAAGATTTGCCCCGCGAATCGCCAGAATTGCCATAGGCATCAAAAGGACTACGCGCCAAAAAAAATTATAGGACGGTCATGGGAGAGATGTCATCAGGCTTTTAGAAAATAACCTCTAATAACGATGCAAGTGCCGTCCACGAATGGCCTGGGTAATAAGCTAGCGGATCAGACTAGGGTATCAGGAAGCCAGCAGCTGGTCAGCGGGTGAATCTCAAGCGAGTTCGGAAAAAGATGACGGAACTGATTTGGATCTTGCATTTGTAAGTAAACCACCTTTTCCTACCTAATAGGCAGACAATCAGCCGCGGATGTGATCAATGTTCCACGCCCTCACCATTCTCCCCCTAACCTTCCCCGACTTGCACTGCGCGATATATTTTAGTAGCTGCTCCAAAAATGTTCGATGGGTGTGGGCTCTGTTCCGCTGGGATCTTCTGCTAATGATGGCGGGGATCAGAGAGTGGTAAAAAAAAGTCTCATATAGTGCATGGGCTGGGTCAGTAAGCACGTCAGAAACGTCGTGGCATATATCTACGTGTGTATAAGCAAAATGAGAAAGAACCTGATTACATTCCGGAAAATCTTTGCGCTGAACGTCATTGTTCTAAATATTTAAAAAAAAAAAAAAAAAATTTCCCGTTGACTAGGTCTAGTTGGCCATATGAAAGAGTCATCTCCCATTGCCAGACATGAGACACTGAAGCCAATCAAATTAACTAATTTGGTTCTCAAACATTTTAGGGGTTTTAATTCGTTCAGCGTTTTACCGGCTTATAAGGTAGCAAAAAGTGTTTGTTGACTAGGTGTTATGGCTTGTTTTCTATGGAAAACGTTCAATGCAATATACAATCAGCAAGCAGATTTGTGAAAAAAATTAATGCTATATAATTTGAATCACGCTTTTCGCTGCTATGCAAACAGAAAAAAAAACATATAGGCCTTCACGACTCTATTTTGCTTTGTCCTTAAACTAAGTCCAGTACTAATATATGATTAATCAGCGCGTCTAAGTCCATGATATCGTTCTTGTCGTATGTTTTAGCTTCGGCGATCAAATGCTACCAGTGTTCAACAAGCGAGGATCCCAAGGGTAAAGATCTTTGCGGAGCTTACCGGTATTTCGATACGTCAAAGAACACACCTGTTGACTGTCTTGGAGAGCAAGCCGTTGCACTTGGCACGTTCTGTTATAAACGACTACAGCAAAGTCCTCGTGGATTTATTTGTAAGTTATTGCTCATATTCTGAACACTGTCTCTATATTGTACTATTTATGCACCAAAACTGCTATAGAGTCACTTTTTTCGAACAAGTTTTGCCGCAAAATGGCCAAACGCCTCTTTTTTTTTTTGATGATAATTTACACACTCGCCTATAACACCATTTTATTTTTGTTCTACTTTCTTTACGGGTGTCTCCTTCAGAGGCCCATTCAAGTCAGGGACCGCTCTAACTCCTTACCGAAGATGAGATTTAAGGCGTCTTTCTTTGCTGGCAGACTTTGATACGTTGCCCTTGCCCTTTTCATTTGCGGACCGATTGAGTAAGCGATTTAAGTAAGCCAGCGATTCTCCATTGCGATTGGGGCTCAAACGGATATACGCATTTACACCTTTTCAATGCCACGCCTTTCGAGACCGTTTTTCAACGTCAAGGTAGTTCGTATCCGTTGGTCGCGGGCACCTGATAGGGCCACAAGACATGGTTGGAAGAACAAGACACCCTGAGAGGCGGCAGAAGCGAAGAAAGGCCAGTAACCCACCCTGGTCTTTTTCACTGCCCGATAATCAAATTTCTCTTCTTCTTGCGCCTCATATCACGGTTGGGAAAGAGCTACGAAACTAATAGCCTTTCTTTTCATCGTTGTTTTTATTCAGTATGCTTTCTAAGTTCGCGTTCATTTAACGAGATAGGTACGTTTCCTTGATTTGTAACCGGGAAGCAGTTGCAGTATTGTCCCTTTGAGTTTCCTCTTTTGCACCAATTATACCTTATTTAAATAGTGCTCCGAGGGGTACCTTCAGATGCAGCTGAAGCCTCTGTATGTTACTAAGTTTTAAAAAAGCAATTTATCCATTAATTAACCGAAGAGCGTTTGTCGTGAAAAGTTCACGCCAATAAAAAACGCATTTATTGGTCGCACGGAAGAAGTCTGGAAATCACTAACGAAGGAGACGGACGCAGATAGGAAAATACATACTACTCTTAAAATAAAGCGGAGTAGCAGTTGCATTTATTCGATATAAAGTTCTTCATTTACAGCCGAAGTTATATGGTCGTTAGCGTATTTGTTTTAGTATAGAATACGATAAACAACCTTTAATCGGTTAAATATTTCAGGGGACGGTCGATGGAGAAGCGTAGAACGACGCTGCGCACAAGTTTCTGAGCGCGGCATCAACTGGGGCTGCGATTGGGGTTACGATCTCCAAGGAGTTTATTGGGAGGAGTGTTACTGTGCTGAAGATGGATGCAATGGATCTCCTACACTCATGAGCACCGCTCGAATACTATTTTCCTTATGTCTACTACCGCTGCTGTGGTTGGCGATTCAGCCGATGTAGATAGCATGTTAGCTCCCATAGATAGCTAGCTATAATACTGTGCATGGAGCATATGTATAACCAATACTTAGGATTGTGTAATACTGTGCTATATATATACATACATATGCGTAGGCCGCTATTGTGGTGAAGATCTTTAAGTGATTTGACAATGCAGCTCCACGAACCAAGAGTTGCCGTTAGAAAGGTTTGAGGTTGTCAGTAAACTAAACATTAACCAACAAATAAGAATATTTAGGATGCCAATATTATGCATTCTGCTATGCAATTCAGACTGTCAAAATTTCGGAAATCAAACCCAACTTTCGTGAGCACATGAACAGGGAACGTCTTATTTCATGAATATCTGTGTTTTTATTTGAGAAAGTTTATTTATTTATTTATTTATTTATTGTACATATAGAAAATTAAATTGATTCAATTTGATGTGAGTTGTAACGCATACTAACCGCTAGTCGTATATCTGGGATGCTAATGATGGGATTCTCTCAACATACGATGAAATGGCACCTTTCGAAGGTTTGCTTCGCGGCTGGACTAACGGGACAACGTGTTCGCGGGACATGGCCTAAGATTAAGCATGAGTGCCAGTACAACGTGGTCATACTTCTCCTGAGATCAGAATGCTATTGAAATTCTGTCTGTCATCCGTATCTGTGAAAAGATCAGCCTGAGATAGTGGATTCTTAGGGTCCGTCTGACAAGCGCATTGCCACACCACTGATACAAGCTGACCGAATTTGATCGAGCCCTATTCTGAGCAACTTAAGCAGATAAGCACTCGGTCGGATCGGAACTATGGCTTGCATACGCCAGCTTGTCGTAAGCCAACACGCTAAATTGGAACGAACAGCTCTTTCAGTATCGCTTTTTAGTCGCAAAAAGTTGTTCGGATGACCTTTAATAACTTATTCGTAAAGTTTGCACACTTTTTTGAGGGAAAGAACTTGACTCCAACCTAGTGAGATCTGGAACTCGCCGTGAGCGTACGTTTACTTGAGGATATAATCATCATCTAGATTGCTATAACAATTTTGTTGTTACATTACATAACGTTACATCATGCATAACAGTACATACTTTTCAAGTCGTATCGACATATAATAAGTTATTTTTATATGTATTTTTTATTGTTTGAAAAGTAAAGTTTCATGATCCACACTTCTACTCAAACTAAAGTGTTATATGTGCTGCACGTATATGTCAGTGCTAAGCTTTCCTTATTTCCACCTAATGAATCTTTTTAGTTAAACAAAGTTACGAAATTTGTTTAATCTGAGAAATCGATTATTTGAAGAAGAACGCGACCATTTGCGTTCGTTACCATAACTTCAGTTGAATTACACCTATCGAAAAATCATTAACACGATAGGAAACTATGATTCTAAAATCAACGATTTTTTTTTATAGAATGCTCCGGAAGTGTGCCGATGACATGGCCTCTGTAACAACCGTGTCCGAACGTATAGATGTCCATACACATCCAATCCCCGCATGTCTACCCAACCAGCAGATATAAATTTCAGCATCAGGATTAAGCGAGTTTTTCGATCTATTTCTTACGTCCGGCCGAACAGTTTAAGTATACGTGAAATTCTCGTTGCAAAATATGCTTTAAATCGGTAGTTTTCACATTGCCCAAGTCATGAGCGACCGTGAGCGCCGCATCAGTATTTGTCCCAGACTTTTCACGCTACTCTGCTGCAACAATCGGTTCAACAAAATCCTAGTGATATGTCTTCAGAATCAGAATTCAAGCACACTGATGTCCTGAGATTTCGTTGAAAATCCTCGGTGTGACCACTATCACAGTTAGTCTTCCCAACTGAGCCACAGAGTTCCTATCTATCATAGTTTTTATGAAAAGACACTTATACGGTCCTTGCTACGATTACGTCATACGTTGCTGGCATAATGTAGTTGGAGGTATAGAGATCAATTCGTTATACAGCATAGAAGAGCTAGAAAAAGTACCGATTAAACTGATTTTGCTCGTTTGAGGTGCTTGATAGCGTTGCGATCATATCGAATGTTTCCGTTTAGTTCCTAAACGGAAAACGCCTATTATTAAAATATTAGCACTGTTAGTTTCTTGACAATGATAATAACAATAACTGAGCAGATCGATCAGAGCGACCTAGACCCAGACAGAGTGACCCATAGAACTGCTGGGACAGATTATTGTTGTACAATTACAAAACATACATATAGACAAGTTAAGCGACCCTGATTTTATATATATATATATATACATCGAGTTTATAAAATCTCAAAAGAGGACCAAGTTAAGGCAATGTTTTTTAAATGGCGTAATACATTTTTATAAGTATAGTATAGAGTACATCATAAATAAGATGAGTAACGTGTGGTAACAAGGAGAAATATTCGCTCTCGTAGTACAGGCTCTTATGTCGAGGTATCGTTATCTCATACGTGGCTCACGTATTTCACACTGTAAAAATTTGTAATTTTAAATGTCCGTTGTCCAAAATTTTCCAAAAATGTTCGACAAAAGAATAAATTTTGTTGTTTATAAAAGTTCTCGCTTTTCCGCAGCCGAAGAATGTGGCTATACTAGTAATGTAAATAAACCCTCTTTTTCATAGGCGTTCAGAAGCACGAGTTATACTCGAAGCGTCATCGTGATTGAGTCTATACTAAAAATACGAGATATGTTAGATACGGCAACGCTCGACTCGTGCACTCACAATCAGAGACGTCATTTAGAGCCTTCGGTACTGTAATTTAAAGAAAAAAACACAATATGTATAAAGTATCATTCAAATATTTATTTCTACTAGTAATTTACTTAATACAAGTACAATAATTATATATATATATATAATTATTTTACTTGTATATTGTATATATATGTATTTACATATTATTAGACACTGAGAAGCCGCCTGTTGTTTTTATTCTATAAAGGTGACATTAAAGGAGTTACCTCTAATAGTTGATGTCAGCCATGAATCGATATGATCAACTTTAGGGTTTGTTCATGTTACGTCATACGTTCTGTTAAGGGCATCCCTGTTCTGCCTTATGTGTCAGCCAAGCACAATACTGTATATTCTACTTACATAAGTTGAAGATAAAGTTTGTATGGCGGCTGTTTCGCAGCTGGTGTAGTTTATTTTATGTTTTACATGAAAAAATGTCTAACATGTGGCTTTGTCGTTAGACGTTACGCATGAAACTGTGAAGAGCTAGGAGAATGCTACGATTCTTGCTCTAAATACGGTGGACCAAATTACTTTCTCAATAAAAGTTAACGGTGAGCGCAATGAAAAGGAGTAACTGGGTCACAGAAAATCTTTCAAGGTTATTTGTTCTTTCACTATTTGCCATCTCTCTAACTGTTTTTGATTTTGTAATGACTTCAGATATAGGTATGGCAATAGGCCGCTTTTCCACCTGGCTTCATTCTTTTAAGTTTCGTCTCACGTCCTCTTGTGGTCCTTGAGTGAATTTTGGTGGTGCCCAGAATCGACGCGCTTACACATTGTTGATGTTATCGCCAGATGGTAACCTATCGAACAGCATAGTCGAGTTGGCAGGTTTGGCAGTGGTACGTAGTTGTTTAGGAGCGGTATGTCTTACTGCCGAATCCCGAATCTTCCACAATCAAGATAAGAAAGATAAAAGCAGGAGGAGCTGCCAATAGAGTATCTTCCCCGCACATTCTCCTCGAAATCGTTTGATCAAGCTCTGACAAACCCGTCTTAGACACAATTAGATGAGAGCTAAAAGACGGGTGACATGAAAGAAAAACAAATAACACATATACATGCACATACACACACTCACTCAAAACACGATATTGGCAACAGATTTCTAAACAGCTAGCACATGAAAAGGTGTAGCCGTAAAGGATAAAAGCACCATTCTACTTTCTAATAAAGATGTGCGTTTACATTATCTGATGAGTGTCAGGCTTGACATGGAACCCTTAGCCATAGCTGCGATAGCTGCTATAATTAGCAGGACCAGAGGTGAAGCGGCTGTTGAGTTATGTCCGGCATTACACCCATCTTTCGAGTTGCACGTGCATGTCTCAACAAAAACATCAAACGTTCCCCTCCGCATGAGACAATAATTCTCGTCGCCGTGACCCTCTCCGGGCTCGCCCAAATACGCACAGGACCTGATGACGCGCCAGTTCCCGTTTACCTGTAATTTACAACATCTCGTTATGAATGAAGACGTTTTTGTGCTAATTTAGGTCGACAGTCAATTCGTGTTATCATATTATTTTTTAAACCGACTATTTAGCGCTAACAAAATTTCAGAATTTTTGAGTGTCGAAAAATAAGAAGCCTATATAAACGGTCTCGATTTTTGTTATTAAAACGATCGTACTTTAATGTCTACTAAACAATGTTAGTGAACATTCACTATATTCAAGTTATAATACATATTAAAATAAAATTACTACTGCTTTGAACAATGTGGTTTTTTGGGGCACAAGTAAGTGTGTGTAGCGCAGAAAGAAAACAATACTTATTTAAGTAAGAACAGCAAGTTTTCAATTTTGCATGAGCATGGAACAAGTAAATAGACTTATTATCTCGGTTGTTGACCCTTTTCAATCCTCAACAATCGGAACCTGCGCCGAAGATCGAATTATGAAGGCTGCCTTTCTTCGCAGTGTTTAGAAAAATTCATTTTATTTAAGCGCCTGGTTATCTGGACATATACTATGCATAACTTTTCAGACGTTTCTATCTAATCCACCATATACTTTCGTATGAAGTCGATAAAAATACACTTTATTTTTAATCAGATATATCATGCTAATACAGATCTATATCTGCATTTTCGCCCGAAAGCATATCCTCGAGTCACTCATCTGATCAGATCACTAGATGATAGACTGCTAGGTTATAGCAAAGTTATTCAGTTTCTAACGATGTTTAACTTCCGTATACAACGTTAAGGACGAGGCGCAGCGTCATGATATAGTTTCAGGTTCTAAAAAATCTATGGCAAAAGAGAGCATTTACTTTCTCTAACACTCATCACATTAAATAGCATCATCCTAGAATAGTGTGATCTGGACGGATAATTTATATCTCTTTGAGTGCCTCGACGCGGTAATCAGAACTCGCAGGTGCGGTGTGACACAGTCCGAACACTTGTTGGTATGAAATCTGTAACTGATAATGCTAAAAGAAGGATTTGTTTATCATAAAGGGATCTCGGCAGAATTCACACCTCTGAGATGTTTGTACTAGATGCTTATAAATAATCACCGTGTGAAACCTAACTTTTCTTGGCCACACGATCTGTGAAGCATAGCAAGACCTGTAGCACAAGCAGCGTCGATAATACCCATGAAGACGAAGGAAGATGCGGGAAAATATGAGTGTGACCTTCGAGGGCGCTTATTGTAAGGCTGAATGCAAAGTTATAACATTAGAAACCCTGAACTTCTGCTGCATACTAATTTCGCTTAATTTTAAATATAATAACAATTAAAAAAATAGCTACATCTATCAGCAGACCTTTAACTACCTCCAAGACGTCGACCTAAGCGCAGTAAGTCTACATCTGTTCGACCAATATGCTGTGCATCAAATAGTCACGTGCGGTACGACACGTGCATACATTTATAAAAAAGGGCACATGATCAGAACAATGATTCTTTTAAAGCATGTGGAAAAAAAAGACGTTCGCAACGATGGGAGCAACTGCTCGGTGTTTGCCCGTATCCGTTGAAATGAAGCTACAGGGAATTTATTCTGTATTGAAGCATCGCAGCGCCTGTGTTAGCGAGCTGCAAATTTTCTAGCAGCAAATGCAAGTTCGTCTGGTAGGCAGCCTTTTTAACTAACAATCTGCAAACAATTTCCTTAGTGGCATCACGGATTCTAGTAAAAAAGAAGCAAACAAACAATGTATATGGGGTAGGATACTACAAAGCTAACAAATTCTTACCCACAATAGAGAGGGAGTCGATGTCAGGTCGCGTAATTACCAAATCGGAAAAACGGATACGACATGCGGTGTTTAACAGTTAGTCCTAGGATCTTTTTTCGGCATTAATGAAACGCAGTAAACAATTGTTAAGTGCAGGTAACGTTTGATTGTAATTGCTAGAAATCCGCTTCAAACGTTCCACGTATAAGGCTCCTATCTTAATTTTATGTGTCAATTCAGGTGCGGCAGTATTTTCAGTGCTGATCCTAATTATCGTATGCCTTAATTAAAATAGGCTACGATTTTTTAGATTTTTTTTTTAAATCGCGGATTTCAAGTTAGGCTTACGTAATTACTTTATCTTCCGGGACTGCGTAATAAATCGCAACAATCAATCCATATGTGTAGACCAAAGTTACAAATGGTGCACTATGACCCTGTTGACTAACAACATAACCGCCTTAAGGCAATTGCCTACGAAACGACCGACGATTTAGCTAAACCGGCATTGGCCATTTTAGTTTTTTACGTAAGAGTTTCAGGAGCAAAGGCAAAATTTCTAACAGCGACGGCCGCAGCTACAGAAATAAAACCAGATCGCCCAGTTCAGCTCTACTAAGCTTTGCCTCTTTCCGAAACACCAGTTTTTACCGTTCTCTAGAACGGAATCAATATTAACAACGGTTGTTAGCCATTTCAGAAAACTGTATCTGGACTATATGATGTATGATACAAATCGGTGCTAGATAAACATAAGTCTTCTTTTGGACCTGTAGAGAAAATACGTACACGATCGGCTATCGTTAACTCATTTTATCCCTTCAGGCCGCAGATTTCTTTGCTTACTGCTAGGTAAACAATTAGGTTAATCCTCGCAATTCTGCCGCCATCCTTATTCCTTCTTTTCCTAAACACAATTCTCGCGCTACGTACGAAGCAGTAGACCCGTTCGCCAAGCAAACAGCTTTGAAGATCCGGCTGATCATTCCAGTAACCTGAAACGGATCTCTAGTGAAATACTGCTATAAGTCTGCCGGGCTAACGAAGGTCAGTTTCCGCACAAATCAGTATTCTATTTTGGCCATCAAAAACCTCTTGCGCGATACATACAGAATTACTTTTCACAAATAACAGACAAAATTTAAACAGAAAAGCTGCATTCAGAAAGCGAATTAGGTATCCGGCTGAGAACTGCATTGAACGATATTTGTGTTACGCTTTGGTTTCAAATCGCTTGCACTCGAAATATAAGTAATGTTAAAGTAAGCAACGGGCAACTTCTTGTGAAGCAAAAGGTGGCCAGCTTTTTAGTACGACCCGAAAGCTTCTCATATCATTTTGGCGATCTGCAGAAAAAGCACCGACGAATCACTTCATACGCATCAGCTGCCTAGATAACACGTCTAGCCATAGAAGCTTCTGTAACAGTAACAGCAGTTCTACTGGAATAAATAGTTTGAGTTTGGTGTTTGGTACTGCAGTCAAGCATCGCTTCCGAGGGCTGACCTTCAGCACGACACAAAGTCTATTCCCAGAGTCAAACTTAGACTACGACATACTTCTACACTTAGTAAGTGAATACGTTATCATTGTAGGATCTAAAGGACCAAAGCAGGCCTACTAAAGCGTAGCTGCCTTCAGCTGGCAGCGGGCAAGCAAAGCCACCACATACGGCGTATGTTTTCATTGACTCATACGGCCGGATGAAACAAAGGAAGCCATTTGAGGTTGGTTATGATCGTCTCAATCGTCTATTAGCTCAAAGTCCAGAGCATCCGACGAAATGGACGTTGCAGTATCTCAGCATCGGTTAGCAGTGGTACCATTATATATGCATTTCACCGTCCATCGCCCCACACAATTTTTGCTTCGCTTTGCATAACGCTGCGTAGCGTTGTAGGTGGTAACGATGGTCATACAGCCACCATCTGAGATCCAGTCGAATGGGAACTGATTGTGGACAAGCCTACGAGGACGTTTCGGCGACAGACATAGGCGACTAGGACAAGTAAAGATCATAAAATTTTATATTGCTTACCCACCTCGTGGGGGTTCTCGGCGTAGCCAAATACTGCCGACGTGTCCCTTCCTTTGTTCAGTTTCATAAGTTCCGCTCTACGCAAGCTGCTACGGGTGTCTGAATGTTAATGCCTATCTGGTATGAGGGCAACAAAGAAAACTCACTAATACTAATGCTAACTAATCTCACTAAATGCTCGCTCGATAGCAACATGGACAAGTGCTTGGCCTAAACAACAATGATCGTTTAGAGCATGTGGGCGTCGTACTTACATAATGTCGGTGCTCGTGTGCAAAAGCTAACAAAGGACATGCCAGCAAGAGGCTGGCAGACGATGCCGCGTGTACGCGCATAGGCACAAATAAAAATATAGGTTTACAGGTATTCTTCATAGATACTAGCAACTAGTACGTAGATGGATATCTGTAAGAGCTAATTTTTACTTGACTTAGAAGTCCCTTCGTAAAGAAGCAAGATAAGTTAGAAATTAATTAAATTAAAGCGGAAAAAAATTAGGGAACACAACGCAATTTAAGGACATCGCATCGATTATGATCGCGCAGTGCACATAGACTAAACATAGCAATGTAAACACAAAAGCATTTCGATATTTTTGAGAATTGAATGTATTTAGAACCCGTTTAATTAGTCCTTTTTCGTTAAAAAATAATTTAATAGAGATGTGATCATTTTAGAACTCGTGTTCCCTTGTGGAATACATCCAACCTAAGAAGAGTAATTTTGAAATTAAGCTAATTATGCATACAACCGGTTTAGTCCTTTAGATCTACTAGTTGTTTGCCGTAAAAGACTGCCATAAAAAGGTGTGCAAACATCTAGTCTGTTCCATAAGGTCACTTTGTGAACTGAACAAAAAATCTACAAGATTTTTGCCACCATGCTCAGAAACTTCCATTCGTTTACAGTTGGAACCAAATACATACTCCTTTGGAATGAGTCTAATTTTCCCATGATAAGTCACTCAGTACATAGCTAGCTAAGCAGCCTTTCCGTAAACGGTTCTGTAAACCATTCTTCTCTTCCGCTTTTCTTCCTTCTGATCCTTTGCTTTGCGACCTTTTCTACTAGTATCGTACGTCAAACAGGCAATATCAGTTGCCACAATCTGTTGTATGATTGGTCAACTATGGTTATCTTGACACTCGACTCGTATCGTGATTATCAAGTATTTATGGAAACACTCAGCAGATGGCCTAATTAATTTCTGTCAGAAATTAGTAAATCAGTCACATCTTTAACCTTTCCGGCCCAAAATCATGACAGTGTAATATCTACTTTCATCGAAGTTCGGTCTAATACTCTTATGATAGCCATTTAATAAGCACTAAATGATTCAATCAGGGTACTCGTCGATCAGATAATGGCGCCCAGCCACCGCATACGGATGCCGTAAACGTTGCGAACTCATGTAATATTATCTTCATATAACCGTCTTATTGTGTGTATTGTTATATATTGCGTTTCGATATCCTCGATGCCAACAGATGGTAACATAAGGCTTGACATGTCGTCTGTTTGCCATCAGAGTTTCGCATCGCTCGATCATGGATGGAAACGTCGATTAGGGATCGCAGCAGATTTCATGCATATCCTATACGAGCTAATTTATACCACGCTATGCTGCAATACTGAAATAAGTAATGAAAATATAGTAAGACAGTGAACAGTTTTCGTAGAATCAAAAGGATAATCGAGGTGCGGAAAAACATACTGAAAGTTGTATCGATGATACAAGCACCCCATACATGATTAGTAAGTGCATAGACCTACCTTTTGCCGTATTTTCCGGCACATTGTAGCAACAAGTGTGGGCATATGCGACAGCGTTCGTCGGTTACACTCAGTAATTGGAAGTGTCGTGTTGTCAAATGGGTCGGCACACAAAGGATCTGCGTGACTCTTGCATTCCCAGCATTTGATTGACAGTGCTAAAACAGAATGTAAATTATTATTAATATGGTATCACGATAGGCAGTACACCGGCAATAAAAAAAAACTGCCGAGAAAACGACCACAGAAACATGTAGAACTTTTGAATATTGTCAACCAACACGCTTGTCTGGTCTACATGGTCATAAAATACCATAGTTGATTATACACTATGGTATTTAATGAGCTGTCAGCTCCTCAAGCGTTCATCGGAATCGAAAATCTTGTTAGTGGGCCAGAGCACAGATCAATAACTCGAGTGTTATTTAATCATACGCGCGCATCCGAGTTTTAATTTCTGGGGGGTAAAAGCCCCTGAGCTTGTTCGACTAAAACTTGCATACACGTTAGCGGTCGTGCTAATAAGTTACATAGCCGTTTGTTCGTACGGCATAGTAAATAAGGGATTATGATCTAAGATGAAAAGCCACATCGCCCATTTGCATGTAATGCGATTTTATCGTGCAAACAACAATGTACTATCGACGTTGATGCGTGAAGAGTTTTCTCTGTGTTTCAGTTAATGAATAAAAACGGTCAGCGAAAATGGGCACGAATTCGAGTTAACAAAGGATAAATAGGAAACTGGAAACAACTTCGGTGGCAAACGACAAAAATGTCACAAAAACAAAACATAGGCAAAAAATGTCCGCATGACAATATTTTTGAAGGTTCCGGTTCGAGCCAACCAGGACCAAAGTCAACAAACAAGTAAACAGATAGGAAGTGGCAGACGATCCTATTAAAATATCCGGATGTGTTTGGGTAATTGGCTCTATCAAGAGACAACAAGTAACAAAAAAAAACTGGAAGTAGATGAATATCGGAGTAAGAGGAATACGATAAAAACACAATTAGTAACGGAAGGCAATATTTTTAGTTTACAATGATGTCACGGAGTTGAGTAACGTTTTAATATAAAACTTAATTAAACAAGCGCGTTATACAATAGGTTATACATTGACGATGTTTTGCCATTTTAGATATTTTAGTTAGGTTTTAAGAATTTTCGAGCTCCAATAGAATAGCCCTTAGAGATCCGTTTTAAAATTCTTCTAGAAACGTTCTGAATAAATTTTTCCTATAAACGTTCTGAAAATAGCAGAAAGCACAAGGCTCAGTAGAGTTGAGACAGTGAGCAGAAGGGTAAACTACGCATAGAAGGCTTACCAATACGTCGTACGGGAATTCGAAGCAGTTGCAGTGCACTGGGATATGAAGTATAGGCAGCATAAGCGTACATAAGGCAAAACGAAAGTCGACATAGGGAAAATTAGAAAACGACGTTTATGCAAATGGCCAGTGAAGTTACTTAAGCAAAGAAGTAGATTTTAGAAAATGGGACGCGATTATCGTACGCGAAAAGTGACTTCGCCAACGGTCGATTTTTTTGCAAGAAGGAAAAAAACGAAAAAAAAAAATGGGAGGCAAACATGACGAAAGAAAAGATTTTTACCACTACGTTAATAACTGTTAGTAATGGCAGCAAAACTACGCCAACTATAACTCGATATTTTATATGTGCTTCCATTTTCTAAGTGCGTTAGTTTTGTGTTCACATCTTGATACTAGGTTAACTTCATCAATTGAATTCGCTTTTAAGGTAAAGAAAGTCAGATATATAGCTACACAGATAGCCTTCTATCTTAAAATAGTAATTTATGATTATTAATTAATGATGCTCTCAACTGCAACGTCACAGATTATCTAAATGTTAAGCGTAGAGGCTCTAAGGGTGGCCAACATACCCACTTTACATACAGCTTATAGTATTTCTATACTCTTGTCGCCACTGCAGTGCAGACTTTCAGCTTAGATGCACCATTATTAAGCTGACCCACTACCCGTTCTAGAAAAATCCGCAGTATACAAATCGCACAATAGCAATACAATCCAAGGGCAGCCCGTCTATTTATTAACAGGTGCCCTATGCAACAACTAAAGGTATGTCTGCCAGAAGTTGTCAAACCTGAAGATGGCCTAGTAGCCGTTGAATTGTAATAAATTCATGGCCACGTTGACGCCCAGGGCAACACGGGGAAAGCACTCGGCAGCAGTGTACGGTAGACTTATAAACATCGAGGAAGCAGTAGGACGCTTTTAAGAACATGCATCGGCCCGTGCTTGACTTCGCATCTGCGACAGTGCTACGCTACTACTACTACTACTACGAAACGCCAATCGCTGGAAGCAGGTAAAATTCTGGTGACGCCTGTGGTGGGTGTTACGACAATGGCGATGACACGCTGCCGTGAACAGCGAGCCGACTAAACTACTCCTTTCTCAGTGGCATAATACTACATAACTTGGATAGCATAAAGAAGAGCAAGAAAGCGAGATTTCTCTTCGAATAGCAACAATCAAAGGAAGAATATGGCAGTAATGGTAACAGTAATAAGCATTAGAGCGGTAGGAACCAGTAGAAACTAAAGGGCTAAGCAAAGCTTTCCCACGAATGTTTCGAATATGTGTCTTCACGAAGTAGAATACGCAGTTTTGAGAAATCTGTATTTTTTTGTGATTTAGAGACTCCCGTCATGGGGGCGAGTGTGCGAAGAGGATGTCCTTTTGATTAATCAGGGAAAACAGCTCCAATGCGACAGAACTTCTGGTAAGGTTATTGAAGGCCAGCCGACACTACATTCCTGAATAAACTATATGCACGATGATAGGCTTATTTTTATGTGCTTAATCACTACACAATAGCGCAATACATTTGTTTCAACAATACAAAATTACCTAGAGGCGAGGGGAGCATATCGATATGGCGATGAGAGTTTGAATTTAGGCCGCAGCGATAGTCGTTACCGAAACTACGTAGTACAGCATATTATGCAACTCACAACCTAACCTAAGACAAGCACTATTATGATAAGCGCTTCCCAATCCTGTGATACCATAGCAGTGGCGCGCTTGCCTATTGAACCTAGAAACACAGGATCGTCTATCTAACAACTTCCTCTCAATATAAATTCACGCGGCTATAACGGTACATATCTGTATGGGCTAACTTGAACGAATATTTTCAAAACGTATATAATTTCTCTGGAATAAATGTGTTGCAGTTATACTGTAAATATCCAATTAAAGGAAGTTGACGCCCCATTGATTGTTATTATTTTGTTATTCGTATTGCCCCATCCAGCTCACTGACTTATACTAATTATATACTCAAGCTGCTGGCACACAATAAGTAATCCGGCATAATTTGTATAGCCATCTCAACTGTACTTGATCTAAAATATACTTCATTAATACACGTCCTTACGCTACAAATGATTTGGACATAAGAGGGAATGCCCACATGCTACGCAGGGTTGACACTTCTCCCCAGCGCCTTGCTAAACCATGCGGCAAAAGCCTTCCTGCCGTTTTGGTCAGACATGTGAGTCCACTTAAGAAAGCGACTAGAATAGAGATGAGGGTAAAATACACAACGGAGTTTCTTTCGGCTTTGCAGTAACGGTCCTAGTCGTCTTAACATAGAATCTCGTCACCATTGTAGTTTTCCTATGCTGTACTGTATACATAACCGGGCTTATGCCCAAAGATTCCATAAAAAAAAGTTCTTTCCACTGCGTCGGCGCAAGATACGAAATAAAGAACACCTGTTTTGTGGCCATCAGGCTTACGCTGGTTGTATGGACGCATTTGAATTCTGCATCCACCAACTAGATGTCTCTTATTCTGCGCCATTAAACAAACCATTGACTACGAATGATCATGGCATGCATGGTATAAATACCGCACCAAAAAAACTCTTATCCGCGCTGTCCGTTGTTCTATTTTTAACTGCCCGTTATTTCCGACCCGTTCGCTTTTACAGCAACTCCAGTAGTCGTAAGTTGGGTCGGCCAGCTAACGAAGCTCTGCAGTAGTGCGATAGATTCTGGGCAGGTACGGCCAAAATACGCAATACGAACGAAGTGTTCGCTGATGTCGAACTAAAGGGTAATTCACTTTTACAAAACATTTCTCAGAGCGCTCGCATCGGATATATGAATCGCCGGTCATATCGTAGTCCTCAAAATCAAAGTTCTAAGCTGACAAATCTACCATTTAATGTAAGCTCACGTGTTGAAAATTCCTCCATGTAAACTGCTTCATCGTCTGATCTTTACCATTTAATACACGTCTGACATGCAATGACCCTTATGTACTAATTTCATGCTGCTATCGATCCTTAATACGTTCAGTATTCACTAGATCTTTCCAACAGTCTTCTATCAGATGTTTTTGCTTGACAAATTTACCCTTTATTCGCATTAGAAGCCATTATATAGAGTTTTCCTAACCAAAATTATATTGAAAGAATCCACTATGCGATACTATTTTAGCATACACAGTTTCTTTGTTCCAGTTCCACAAGGTAGGCGCTCCGAATGAATACGTAAGAACGTTACCTCCAGACCTATCTGACTCATTAAAGATAGACGAATGCAAAAAAACTACTATAGAGTTTATGTGATTTTAACCCTTCATAGTCTGTTTGCAAGTGTTTATGGAGAGAACAATTCTCCAATTCAGTGTACTTGTATGGCTTTAAGCTATAATGAATTGCAGGCGCGAACTTTCGAAAATAGGCAGACCTTCGTGCCTTTTTCTAAAACTATACCTAGTAGCAGCTTAGCTGTCTCTCCCCTTTTGTGTTGGTCGTCATCGTCGCACTCAATGAGATGTTGGAGAAACTATGTTTAATGTATTGAGTCATCTGTCCGTTTGAAGTCAATGAAAAGCTCGACGTATTGAAGAGTCGTTAGGGGCACAAAGTTACACCAGTATATCTATATATATATATATATACAAAGTACGACACCTAAATCTCAGCTTTTTTTTATGACTTGTTTTTCAAACTCTACGTAAATAATAACACTTATGTCTATCCAATATAACCGTCATTTAGTGCGATCGTACATCAATTCAAAACCGGAAGCGTTCGCTAGTCACTTTCATAATAATTCTTCTGTAATTCGCAGATTACTTTTAGTAACTATACGTC